CTGGCCTTGAGCCTTGGCCTCCATGTGTCCACCCAACCCGGGCCTGGAGCCTTGGCCTCCATGTGTTCACCCAACCCGGGCCATTGTTTCTTGAGCAATGTCTTCTGTCTTCTGTCGCCCTCAGCCTCTCCTATTAGTCAAATATTGGGCCCTCCCTTTGGTCTTTGCTGGTTTGTTTTCCTTTCTCTCTTTTGCCCTGCCTCATTGGTTACTTTTTCATAGTTTGAAGTCCTTACTTCAATGGTAGACACTTAGATTGTTTTCTTGTTTTTCATTCCCCCCCCCCAGATTTAGGCATGCAACCCAGGTCTTGTACATGTAAGACAGGCTTTCTACCATGTGGTCCTCCCAGCTTTCGTGGTGTTTCCTGAGGGCCAGTCCCTGCCTTCCAAACTGGGGGCTCCTCCCAGATGGGCCTCACTCAGAAGGGGGCTGGGGTGGGAGCTGTGGTCTCAGGAAGATAAGCAGGGATGAGCTCTTGCCTGGGTTTTAGAGAAATAAGACCTCTACATGGATCTCAGGGTGTATGTGCACATGTGCTCACGTGTTTGTGTACACTAAATATGTGTATGTGTGTGTGTGCGCACATGTACCAATGGGCAGGGTGTGGAACAAGGCAGATGTGCTCCAGGGAAGCCCCTGGTCCCTGTTGGCTCGATTTTGTCCCTGGCTGTCTTCCCTGGCCCGAGGGAGGGGTCATCAGCCATTCCCTGTCCCAGCCATTCCCTCTCGCACCTCTCTAGCTGGCCTGCCCTGTCCCCCTTGGGTGACGGGCTGCCTGTAGCCCCAGCCCTGCCCCAGATCCCCGTTTCCATGCTTGGCTGCTGGCTCCCTTGTGTTCTGTTTGGAGGAGGGGGGTCCCTCGGAGAATCTGCCTGCCTGCCTTTGAGCAGACCCTGGCAGCCACTCCATACTGCCCAGCCTGGACCTCCTCCTCCTGCCCCTAAACCTCCCCACTCCGTCCCCTGCGTCTGTGAGGTCTCTTGGGGCCTCCCTGACTGACTCTTCACCCCTCCTGTGTCGTGACCGGCTTGATAAACGCCTTGGGGCTGTTCCTGGGCAGGGGTGTCGTCCATCTGGGTTCCCAGCCCTGACCGTGGGCCTGAGGTGGAGCTGGTGCTACCTGGGCCCCTGGGTCCCTGGGTGTACCCTAGCTCGCCTTGACGCAGGAGCGTAGCCCCCATGTCGGGGGAGGGAGTGCATCCTCGACGCCCCTTCTCAGCGTGGACTCCTCAGTGGACACAGAAAAGAACAGAGGAGTTAGGGGGTGAGAGGTGAGCTTTGAATGTTCTTGGGGGGTTCTCTGAGTTGGAAGCGTTCAGGGCCTGACTGGCCCAGGACCCCAGACTGGGGTCTGATCCTGGGTGAGACCCCTGCTACCTTTCAGCAGAGGAGGGAGCAACGTGGGGTGGCTGGGTCCTTGGATGGAGAGAGACTTCTCATTGAATGTCTGCCCCAAGGAGAGTGAGGCTGGCGGAGCCTGAGGTTGACCGGGCAGCGAAGGAGACCCTCCCTGTCCCCTTGCTGCTGCTGGCTGCAGTCTCGGCTCAGCTCTGCTCTGCTCTGCTGGGAAGGGATTCAGCTTCCCGATGCGCAGACCCATCTGTGGGCGCCTCCCTCCCCTCCTCACCCACCCTTGGCTGGCTCTGTCCTGGGGGTGCAGGGAACGCCAGGGGTGTGGCAGCATGGGACCTAGGGCTGCAGGTATGTGTAATATTTCCGGGCCTAATTGACTCGATTGAAAGTTCCTTTTTAGAGTGTGAATTGTCTCCCCAGAGATGATCACCCTGACACTGGTGGGCAGCCACGTGATCTGTGCAGTGCTACCTCCTCCTCCTCCTCCTCTCTCCCTCCTCCCCTTCCTCTTTCTCCTCCTTCCTCATCCCCATCTCCTCTTCCCTTTCCACTATCATCTCCCTCTGTCTCCTGCTCATCCCTCTCCTCTTTTCCCTCCTCCTCCCTCTTGCATGCAGTTGCTATCCCCAGCTAAGTGGGTCCGTAGAGCTGTAGCCCTGGCTCAGGGACTCGCGAGTCCAGGCAGAAGCAAGGGTGAGAGGTGGGACCCCTGGGCCTCAGAGGCTGGAGGCGGGGAGTGGACCTGGGGCTTGTCTGCATCTGCACAGAACTGAGTGGCTGCTGAGGAATCAGTGCTTGGATGTCTGCAACTTCAAAGGCCCTGTCAGTGGCCACAGAGCAGGAACGGGGCACTGCTCTGAGCCGGGCTGTGTTTGAAGTGAGCCCACTGGGTGGCTCCAGCCCAGGAGCGGAACCCACAGGCATCCAGGCCCACAGCCTGCTGTCAGAGACCTGGGGCTCATGTGATCTCCACTGTCAGGGGCGGAGGGGAGCTGCACCCCTGCTGCTCCGGACCCTTCTGGAACCCCAGCTAGCCATGGCTTTCCTGGGAGCTGGGCATCCAGGCCCCATCAGGTGGAGGGAGGGGCAGCCTCTCCCCCGGCTGCCTGCTGGCACAACACAGTGGTGGCGGATTAGAGCTGGAGAGCTTGGGGGCTCTGGCACCAGCCTCCAGGGCGCTTCTGGGCCCTGCCACTTGGTGTCATGCTGCTCGGCAGAGTCCAGGCAGCTGCAGGTGCCTGTCCAGGTGACTCGGGACCCTCCCCACCTGCCCAGCAGTTAACTCCAGCTCCCCAGCCCATGTGCCCATGGAAAAGTGACCTAATCTCTGATTTCTCTCTGCTGGACCACCTCTGCCCGGTGCCTGATGGCGGCTCTGGACCTCGACCAAGAGGGTCAGGGTGGCCACGCTTGTGCCAGTACTGCTGGAGGGGCCCATGCCTCTGGAAGCCCGGCTGGTGGTGCAGTGGCCCGAGAGTGTGGCCTTGAGTCCTGCAGATCCAGACTCCCGAGCAAGTGACTTAAGGCTGTGAGCCTCGATGGCCACTTTTGAGGGAGGGAGCAACGTTTAGTGAGGATTGGGGGCACGAGAGAGGATACTTGGGAGCCTTGCTGTGTTCACACGGTGCTGCTGCCAGAATGGAGAGTCAGCTGGCCCATGTGAACGCCCAGGCCTGAGCTTGAGGAGACACGAGAGGTCCCAGTACCCCTGCCCGGCACAGGGCCACTTGCGGGTCACCAGGGGCCTCTAGCCAGCACGCGGGCACTTGTGGAGCTATGTGGGGGCCTCTGGAAAGCACAGGTATATTTGTGCTGGTGGCACATTGCATTGAGCAATGATGTCATCATGGGGCAAACCAGAAACCCTCAGAGATAGAAGAGGTTTGTAATTAAAAGGAGAAGAAAGACATGTTTTAGGAGGTGAGTCTTCTGTGCCGCCTCCCCCAGGAGGCACAGCTGGTCTTCCTGAGGCTGGGGTGGGGTCTGTTGCAAGTGTCTCTCCAGATTTGGGACCTGGGTGGTTGTATCAGCCCTAAATTCATTGATTTCACAGTGGCATCTGTAACCTAATGCCCTGGGCTAAAGGTCCTTTCCAAGGCAGTCTCCACCTCTGGGCCCTGGGCATTGGGGTGAGAACACCCTTGGGGTCACCGTTCTGCCCATCCTGCCTCTGCATGGCTTGGGCCTCAAGGCAGCCCCCAGGGATCTGCAGCTCTACTTGGCACCTCCTGCCCACGGGCTCGGGAGCTGCTCGGCCTGTTGCCTGGGCAGCACAGAGGCTCCCTGGAACCAGGGCAGCCTGCAGCAGAGAAGAGGGACTCAGGGTGAATAGGGGGCCAGGTGAAGACAGGCTGCTCCTGGGCAGCCTCCAGCCTGTCCTGTGGGTGCCCCCTCCTCCAGACAGACAGACAGACAGCAGAGACCTGTGAAACCAGTGTGGAGCTCACTCGTGTGGGTGTCGCAGTATGGGGTATAGCGGCACGGGGTATCCCAGCATGGGGTTTACTGGTGTGGGTTTACCGACCTGGGATGGGTTTACTGGCATGAGATATACTGATGTGGGATTTACCAACATTAGGTTTACTGGCATGGGCTATACCAGCATGGGGTATACCTCTGTGGGATTTACTAGCATGAGATATACTGTCATGGGATATTCTGATGTGGGAACTACCAGTGTGGGGTTTACTGGCATAAGATATACTGGCATGGGGTATACCAGTGTAGGGTTTACTGGTGTGAGATATACCAACCTGGGATGGGTTTACTGGCATGGGGTATACCAGCATGGGGTATACCAGCATGGGATATACCACTGTCGGATTTACTAGCATGAGATATACTGGCGTGGGATATGCTGATGTGGGATCTACCAGTGCGGGGTTTACTGGCGTGGGATATAGGGCTGAAATGGGTGCCAATCCCATCACTGGGATGGAGAGCCAGCAGCAGGAACTTTCCCAGCCCTTAAGAGGGGAGAGGGATACAGGATTTCCATGGACAAAACTCAGGCTCCTCTGTGTCCGGCTGGCCAGGGAACAGCTGTCCCTCCCCCAGCATCCATTACGTCTGTGCGTGTCCCTCCCATTGGGGCGGGTGGAGGTGTCAGTGGGGTAGGTCTGGCCCTAGGACTCACCCCAGGGGCTTTCTGGGATGGGCTGGCCACAGCTCAAAGCTCCGTGAAACTTGGCTGTGCTCAGGGATGGCTGGGAGCTTTGTGCTCCTGACGGACATACGGGACCTTGTGCTCCTGTGCACAGCGAGGCGGCCCAGGTGGGGCCCCCCCCCAGGCCCTGTCGGAGCCTGGACGGGAGCCTGGCCAGGGCACTGCTGCAATTCCTAGGGTTACCTTGCATGTGAGGGGTTCTCTTCCCGGATGCGCCTGTTTACCAGCCCCACTGATCTCCTGGCCTGGTGTGGGGCTGCACGTGGGTGTGGGTGTGTCAGAGACCCCTCTGCTGCTGCCCAGAGCTGGCCCTAGGACGTTCTAGGGTGGCCACGTGTGGGCCCCGGCTGCCCCGCCGATGCCTGCAGGGTGCAGAGCACCTGACCCTGCCCACACAAGGACTCTTCCTCGTGGCTTCTTGCGGACCTTCCTCCAGGGCCGCCCCTGCCGCTGTGGACAGCTTGGACGGTGCAGGGCAGGCTCAGTGCTGTAGATCCACTCGTCCAAGAGTCAGCGTGGTGCTGCCCCGCCCACCAGGACAGACCCTCCCGGCCCAGGGGCAGGGCCGCCTCCGACGCCTGGCCACCCCCACAGACTACGGGAAAATGGGTCACTGTGGGCTGTGGCGGTTGCTCTGGGAGCCGAGCTGTGGGGAAACCAGCTCAGGCTGGTGTCCTTGGTCCCCGGGGCAGCTGGTGGGAGTGGGGGAGGCACCAAGAGTTCTCAGAGCACTCTAAGGGCACTTGTCTCCTGAGCCCCAAAATGCGGCTGGTGCATGGCGGGGGGGGGCGGTGCTGCTCATCAGCTGACTCAGGGCTGGCGCTCTGTGCATCCCGTCCCATGATGAGCCTCCCCTCCCCTCCCCCGCCCTGCCTCTGCCCTCCTCCCGGGCCTGCAGCTGCTGATGAGGCAGCTAGGATGGTGCCTGTCCCCAAGGCCGCCTGCAGAGTCAGGCCTGCCTCCCGCTGCCGGCCGCGTTCAGCACCGTGGACAGCATCCCTGCACACAGAGGCCTGCCTCCTCCTGGTGTGGGGCTGCTCTGGTACCTGAGGAGGAGGCCTCGTCCCTAGGCCACGCCTCCTTCATGGCTTGTCAGGCCCACGGGGGGGGGGCGGGGGAGGGAGGCAACCCCACCTGTGCTCCCAGCCCCTGAGCCCCCCCCCAGCTGGAATGGGGGAAGCTGAGAGCCCCTGTGGCTTCCAGGCAGATGACCTATGGCCCCGCAGGTGGGGGGCAGGTGGCTGTCTCCGGCGGGAGGGCGGTGCAGGTGCAGACCCCCTTGTCC